GGGGGGGGGGCGACTGAGCATATTAAAGGAAATCCCGGAGCGTGTCAGTTTACTCATAAATCCTTCAGTGCGAAAGCTGACAGATGAAGACTTAAAAAACAACAAAACCATAAACGCCCTGTCTGTGTTCAGCTTCCTTCACTCAGCTCCAAAATGTCTTTTTACAGTTGCTTTGTTCAAATCAGGACCCAGTTACATTTGGCTCTTTTGACTCTAGAACAGTTCTGTTCCCTCCTCTCTCGCCCTACGCACCCCGCCGATGTTGTTTATAGAAGACACTGGGTCGTTTATCTTCACAGAATTTTCCATGTACTAGAGCTGGCTGGGTTTCCTCGAGTGGCTTCGGACACTCTGGCACTATTTTGTCTTCTAAACTGGCTTCCTACCGCGTCACCATCGGGGGCTGTGACTCTGTTCCGCCTGCCGCCACGTTGAGATCAACGGCTGGTGGGTCCAGCTGCTGTCAGTTTCCCCACTGGCCCTCCACCTGATCGACTTACCAGCCCTCGGGGATTGTGTCCTAGATCCATTATTTAATTAGGGGGCCGCAAAGAGTGGCTTTGCAAGCAGTACGTCTCTTCTGCATTGACCAGCCCTGGTCCTTCTCTGAAGAACTTTCCCTAGTACCTACGTAGTTATCCTAAAATACAGCGTGCAGAGGAGAGGCACAGGTGCTCAGCTCTGTATCAATTTTCAGAAGAGGGGGGTACCCCCAAGAGGTTTGTGGTAGTTTTCTAGTATCACTGTGATCTCACTGACTTTTATATATTTAATGTAGTTCAGTCCACATCTACTTTTTAATGTTCAGGTGATCCCATTGGGACTGTGGGGTTGGAGGTCCCTCCACAATGGCTCCTGTGTTATTTTGATAGGACCCCCACTAATCCTTGATGGCATTTTGCTTTACATTTTTTTTTAATGTTTATTTATGTTTGAAAGCGAGAGAGAGACAGAGCACAAGTTGGGGAGGGGCAGAGAGAGAGGGAGACACAGAATCCGAAGCAGGCTCCAGGCTCCGAGCTGTCAGCACGGAGCCCGACGCGGGGCTCGAACCCACGAACCGTGAGATCATGACCTGAACCAAAGCCGGTTGCTTAACTGGCTGAGCCACCCAGGTGCCCTGATGTTTTGCTTTTAGGTACAAGGTGTCCCAACTAGGGAATACTTTTTTTTTTTTTTCAGGAAGAGAAAAATAAAACATAAGTTTCTACTGACTTTATTCCTTCTTAGTTTTTCCCTGTTATACATAATAACTTAAAAATAACGGTACCAATATTTTTACTAACATGTCCACTGAACAGAACATATTTATTCTCTTTTTGTTCTCACCCCCTCAGGAGCGGATAGTAACAAGACTATTTCAAAGTCACTTGAAATAATTCTTAGTATGGTTTTTCTATCCACTCGATACTCAGGTTCATTCATTCCAGTTAGTTCTTCCCTTTTTAAAAAAATTGGTTTAATTTTGCACTTTAATTGTAGAAAACATTCGGTTCCAAAGTCAAAAGCATAAAACCAGGTACATTCAGGGGTCTCACTTCCTGTCACTCCCCTGCTCTGCCCCAGAGGGAACAATTTTACTTGGTTCTGGATTTATCTCCCCATTGCCTCTTTTCCTTCCTTCCTTCCTTCCTTCCTTCCTTCCTTCCTTCCTTCCTTCCTTCTTTCCATGTTTATCTTTGAGAGAGAAAGATTGTGTGTGAGCGGGGGAGGCGCAGAGAGAGAGGGAGACACAGAATCCGAAGCAGGCTCCAGGCCCCCAGCCGTCAGCACAGAGCCCGACACGGGGCTTGAACGCATGAGCCATGAGATCATGACCTGAGCCAGTTGGACCTCAACCGACGGAGCCACCCAGGCGCTCCCCACTGCCTCTTTCTAAAAATATAAGCAAATAGAGCCTTCCTCCCTTCTCTGAAGCTAAAAGGGCATTCTGTATAGACTTTCTGTACCTTCCCCTGCTTCACCGAGCGGTCTGTCACTACGTGTACAATATGCTCCCCGGTCACTCCGAACGTCCCCAGGGACCCCTCCAGAACCTGGCTCCTTTTCGTAGCCGCACCGCACTCCGCAGTGTGGGGGAAGCCCCGCTTGCACAGCACATCCTATGGGTAGGTATTTGCACTGTTTCCTACTCCTTGAGATCACAGGAATGTGCAAGGAAGGGTTTTATGGTGTGCACGTTTCTCAAGTTTTTGATAACCCTTGCCAAAGACTTGCTGGAATCTGGGCCCGTTTTTTCCCCCTTCCAGGAACGTGTGAGAATTGACACGGGATGTTCAGACGCAAGATCTGAGCCGTTGGTACGTGGGGAGCGAGGGGCTGCACCCCTGTACGTGCACGCGGCTGGTGGCGCCTGACATCAGTCCGCAGTTAACTCCGAGGAGCCCCTAAGGGGGACCTCCTTCGGCCCCGCCACCCCCTCTGCCCTGGCTGTGCTCACCCCCAGGGCAGCAGTGTGGGCAGGGGCAAAGCTGGGATGGGAACCCAGACTCCGGACGGACGGGCAGACAGAAAGGCAGATCTGTACAGACCCAAAGTGATGAGCCGATGAGACACAGACTCACAGACGGCCCCGAATTCAGACAGAGGTGCAGACAGGCAGATGCAGGCAGGGCCCGAGTCAGGAAGACACAGCACAGGCCACACAGACAGACAAAGCAGGAGCCCCAGGGACCCCCACATTCCTGGGCGCCCTGCCAGGCGGCTCCCACCCACCTCGGCCCCCAGGGCGGCTGAGGCCAGCTGGCCTGCCGGCCCCACCAAGGGTGCAGGCCGACCTGGGGCCGGATCCAGGGAGCAGGGTGTGCTGGCGGTGGGGGGTGGGGCTGGGCAGGGGCCAGGCCCGCCGTCCAGATGCGTTTCACGCTTTTCGCTGAGGTGAGGCAAAGCAAAGCAAAGCAAAGCAGGCAGATGTTGGCCTCACTCCCCCACGCCCTTCCCTCCTGTGGGGCTCACGGGATACCACAGCTCACCCCAGCCTTCACCTGACGCGGCTAGAAGGCGGCAGCGGGATGGACCCCAGGCAGCGGGATGGACCCCAGGCAGCCGGGTGGACCCCAGGCAGCGGGATGGACCCCAGGCAGCCGGGTGGACCCCAGGCAGCGGGATGGACCCCAGGCAGCGGGATGGACCCCAGGCAGCGGGATGGACCCCAGGCAGCCGGATGGACCCCTAACGTGTGTGGCGCCGCGGGAGGGCAGAGCGGGCACTGGGACTCTGTGGCCGAGGAGGCGGGTTAGGGTGGGCTGGTCCATGCACACCCTTCTGGCAGACGGGTCCCCCTGCAGCCAGAAGCCATACCTGCCCCACTGCCGGCCACCTGGGATCCGGGGCCTCCCAGGCCCAGGGGGTACCGGCGTTGCCGCTGTCCTGCTGGTGCTTGTCAGGCAGGACCCCTCCTGAGACCCTGACTGGCGGGATTACATCCCCCCCCACCGCCCCCCACATCTGCAGAGCGACTCATTCTGTGACTATGTCACCTTTGCTGGGGTTTCGGCTCTTTGTACCCCAGATGGTAATTGTGTTCCTACTTCATCAGTGGGAGAACTTAGCTCGAGAGAGAGCGTGCAGGGATTAGACTCTGCTGGGCAGTTCGGCGCCCCCAACACCCCAGCACCCAGCAGACCCCCTGGAGCCAGCCTGGCGCTGCCCTCAGCACGGGGCTTCAAACGCCTCCATGTGTCCGTGCCTCAGTCTTCCCCTCTGCACGGCCAAGAGAGCAGCACCAAGTGTCCCCCCTGGCCGGCCGGGGTGCCGTGCTCCGGCTGTTACTGTCAGTATTTGGGTCCCTGTCTGGCTCGGGCTCCCCTGGCAGGTCCCGGAGGGTGCTGGGGAGTGGCCGTGGTGGCCGAGGGGCCTCTCTCCCAGGTCTGAGATACGGAAGGCCCCTTGCTCGGCCCGGCTGTCGGGGCCCCTCCGGCGGCAGTCAGCCTGGTGGTGTGGTGGGACGGGTGCCAGTGCAGGCCAGGCGCCCGGGGCTGTCAGCAGCCCCAGCTCCGACACCCGGGCCTCGTCCAGCTGGAGTGTCTCAGCCTCGCTCTGCAGATACGCGCCTGCTGAGGGGCAGCGACACCCGCGACGGGGCGCCAGACCCGGGGCCAGGCCCGGCCAGCAGACGCGCACGCGGCTGGCGGCTCTTCTGGGGCCCCGGCCTGACATCAGTCCATAGTTAACTCCGAACAGCCCCTAAGAGCGACATGGCCTCCTGCGGCCCCACCCTCCTGCCACCCCTCTGCTGTGGCTGTGCTCACCCCCAGGATGCCCTTCCCTCTGCCTCTGCAGAGCCTATCCTGCCAGCAGGGCCCAGAGCGTGTCTCCTCCTCCTCCTCCCCCTCCTCCTCCTCCTCCAGGAAGCCTTCCTGCACTTCTCTAACCTCGAAATGCCAGTGCTGGGATGCCCCACTCCTCCATTTAGTACAGTTGGGTGGGAACGGAGAGGCCGAGGACAGTGTGGGGCCAGGCGGGACCCGTCCGTGACCTCACACAGTGAGTCAGCAGAACGGCAGCCAGAGGCCTGTTTCTCCGATTCTCACACCTGCCGTCCTAGCCGGACTGTCACCTTTCAGACCTCCTTCCTGTGCCTGGGGACTCTGCCCCACCGGCCACCACGGTGATGAGACTGAGGGGCCCTCGTCCTGCCCAAGACTGGGGGTGGGGGGGGGCAAGCGAGGAAAGTCCTGCCATACACTTGCTGGTCACCCTGGGTCAGAGGCCTCTCTCGGGCCTCAGTTTCCTTGTCGTTGTATTCTGGGCATGATGTCACTGCCCAGGGTGGGAGAGGTGAGAGCCGCACACACGTGGACGCATGCTTTCCTGGGGGCCCGGAGGACGCCGGGCCGGCCCAGTGGCCGCTCCCTGGACACTTGCGTCCTGAGCAGGGCCGTGCTGAGTGCCCAAGAGGCCAACGGGGGATTCCAGTGGGGGGCAGGGCTCCACACAGGTGGCACCACAGCGAGACGCCCACCGGGGGCTTCCTGGGAGGATGGACTGGCCGGGCTGGCAGAGGAGGGGGCGGCTGTGGGAGGAGGGACAGCAAAGCAAAGGCTGGAGGCAGAGAGGTGCCGGCAGGCCCAGTGACAGGCTGGAGGAGGCCTCTGACACGCGGTCCCTCCTCGGCTCTCCCTGAAGTCTTCGCCGCCCCTGCCAGCCCGGACGGTTTGGCCAGGATCGCGCTGAATTGTTAATCTGCCCCCTGGGACCGTAAACGGTTTTAAAGCTTTATAAACGGCTTTACTTCCCTGTCCCCACTCTGGAGTTTTCCAGGGACAGGCTGAGGGACGGCCCGTCTGTGCACCCCCACCTCCACTCCCAGTCTGTGGAGAGCGCCATCCCCCTCCGGCGGGCACAGCAGGCGGGCGTGGGGAGCCGGCTGCTTTACGAGCCCCGGGCGTCTCCTGCCGGGGGTGGGGGTGGGGGGGGGCGCAGGAAACACGTGGCCTCAGAGCCAGACGCCAGCCCTCCACCTGCCTCCCCCCCACGGAGCCCCCTCCCCCGGCACAAGACCCCGCGTGCCTGCCATGTGGACGGCACGTCCTGCGCTTGGCTTCAGACGCTTCCACTTCCCTGCTGCCCCCGAGCCCCGCGCGGCACAGGGCACCGGGCTGTGCCAAAGGAAGGCCTCTGTCCGCCGCGTTCACCTGAGGTGCCCGGCGCTCCTGGGGGCGCCAAGGAGAAGCCAAGCCCTGCGTCCTTGCACGCCAGCCGGGCCTCTGGCTCGTCTCGACCGGTGACTTCCAAACCCGCCCGGCACCAGGATGCGGGGGCGCCTGGCAAGCACGGCCTCGGCGGATCGGCTCGGGGGCCCTGGAATCCGCTCGTTTAGTAAGCAGCCCTCGCGACCGAGCGTTGATGGTGCCGCTCACTTCCGGATGGGGAGACTGAGGCTGGGGGAGCCGGGCTTAGGCTCCTGCCGCCCCGCAGGCCTTTCCCCATCCCGCCGTCTCGGCAAGGGCTTACGGAGAGCCGGCACGCCTTTTCCTCCACAAGCACATCTGTCTGGTTACAAAGCGCTCCTGCTACCTGGAAGCCCGAGGGCCCCGTGGTCCGCGAGCGAGAGCGTCCGCGCAGTTCCTGTCTAGACCTCCTCCACATTTGTTCCTAATTTCACGCTCCGCGGGCTCCCAGATTCCTGTGTTTGGTAATAAATAGACGGGGAAGTGCTCGGCAGCACTGCGGCTGGTCTCAGAGATACTCCCCAGAGCCCGGCTGGGCTGGGCTGGGCTGGGCTGGGCTGGCGGCCTGGACGGGCAGTTCTTGGCGGCGCCTGGAGATCTCCTCTCCAAGCTCCTCAGAAATGCAGGCCCACCTGGTGCGGGGCCCCCGTGAGCCAGACCCGCGCCCACCGGCAGGGCAGGCCGGGGCCGGAGCGCGCCCGTGGCAGGGGGGCCTGGTGTTCAGGAAGCCGGGGATGCCCTGGGCTGGCCTGCTTCGCGGCCTGGGCTCCGTGAGGGACCGCGGAGACGAGCACAAGGCCCGCGCTATTTTGCCGGCTCTCTCGGGGGCTCATAGACTTGTAGCAGTTCTCCCCAGACCCCCGCCGAAGACCCCCACCCCGTCCCCACCGCCTGGGGCCAGCGCTGTGAGAGCAGGTGGTTCCCCGCTCTGTTCCCACCGCCCAGCCCAGCCCAGCCCGATGCTCACAACAGACACTCGATTCTCACAGGGACGGTGAGCTCTTGAAGAATGAATTGAAATTTCCAGGATGGACCCAGCAGAGCCAGGAGCGCCCGTGAGAAGGGGGGCGGTGTGTCCCTCTCATTTCACCCCACGGCTCCCCCCGGGTGGCTGCCCCACCCGCACTCCCCAGGCCGTGGGGGATGCAGGGAGCAGATGCATTTCTTGGCAAGATCCCCCCACCCACACAGCCTAGGGGTAAACCGAGGCCGGAAGAGAAAAACAACGCACCGAGCCAGCAGAAAAGTTCATCAGACGGACACCTTGTCTTTGTGCCCCCTCCCGGCTGCAGAGCCGAGGCCGTGGACTACAGGGAGAGGATTCAGGGCAGACCCTGGGCCCTGGGGGGCTGGGGGGCCTGGGCCACGGCCAGAAAACTGGAGGGAGCTGCCTCGCCCGACCTGGACTGGCCAGGGGGCTCGGCATCCCCACTGCCTGGGGAAAGAGGGCACCCCCAGCTGGGTGGCCTTCCGGCCCCCTCGGGCACGGTCCCCAGGCGCTTGCTGTCCCCTGCCTCAGGCACCTCTGGGAAGGCAGAGAGCCACGGGAGGTAGCCCTTCCTTCCCTCTGCCACAGAGCCATGCCAGGGTCACCTGGGGTCCCCCCGGCCCTTCGGGGGCAGTCGGCAGCACATCGGGCCAGGCCAGGGGGCACCTACAAGGCAGGCTACCACACTGTCATTCTTGCGGTTGGTCCTGGAGGCCCCGCCTCGGCACACCGTCCTGCTTCCAGAGGAGTGGCCAGTCGGGGTGCGCTGAGGCATGCGGTCAAATGAGGCCGGATCCCCCGGCTCCATGGGGACCGCGCTTGGTGGTGTGGAGGGCTGGGAGCGTGTGGCCGTGCCCTGTCTGTGCAGATGGGTGGCTGTGCCCTCCAGACAAGGAGACCTACCCAGGGTGACCCTGGATGCCTGCCACAGAATGAGGGCTGAGCACAGGCCAGCGACCCTGACCGGCCCCCTCGGGCCCCAAGGTGGTGGGGGCGGTGGGGGATGGGAGGAGGCGAGGCACCCCGTGTCTGATGTTGTTGAGCTCAGCAGTGTCTGGCCCTGGGGCCCCAGCAGCCCCCAGACCTCTCCTGTCTGACGTCCTGTGATCTGTCTGAAAGATGTACGTGTGTCTGTGAGGACAGTTCACACCCGTGCGACTCCAACGCGGCAGAGAAATCCGCCCTTTAGCAAAGAGGCCGCCCAGAGGTTCCTACCCTGCCCTCCCGCCCATGCCGCCCCACTGGGGCTCCTGAACCTAAGTCTGGACAGGTCACTGCCTCCCTCAAACACCCTGGGTGGCTCCCCGGTACCTCACATTAGTAATAAGCACACTGTCCTGTCCTGAGCACCCCCTGTGCCTGGCAGGGAGTGACAGTCTCCACCAACATCTCTAATCCCTAGGAGAGTCTGAGCAGCTATCATCACCCCATTTTACAGACAAGGAAACGGAGCCAGAGAGCTGCACAGGAGGTCACATGGTCCGGGGTGAGGGAGCTGAGAGTGAACTTGGGTGTGCCACCCCAAAGCTGGTGTCTTGTCTTTCCCCCCTTCTCCTGGCTCCCCCCTACACGGCTTGCCTAAAGAAGGGGGGCAGGGACAGGGGTGCTCTCTCCTCCTTGCCCACTGGACTGACGGACGATAAGCCCCATGAAGGCAGGAACCTGGTTCACCACGTTTTGTGGCCCTCCTGTCGCTAGGGGTCAGCATAGTGCAAGGACACAGAAGGAGCTCTCAAACGGGG